TTCGAAGCATGTTGGTGAAAAGCTGTGTCTGACCCGTTCTAGTCAGGCGGGCCTTAAATCCAATGAAGTTGAACAGTTTTACACTGTTCCGAAAGCTTTTAGACTAATGCCTATCGGTGTGAGCAGGTACTTTTGTCAGTTTTATGTACTGATGAAAATCCTTTTACTAAATTTAGATCAATTTCGACCAAATGTGCGTCCATAACTAAAAAAATTCTAATCTTGGTATTATTTTACTCTAAGTAAAACAACCATTGATTTTGTCCCAACCCAAAACTGATGACAGAGGCGCAGTGTTTTGCTTTGTTACACCGGATCACATGGGGTTCGATCGCTCTTTTAAGATTTTAATGTGCTTTTTATTGCTATAAATTTAATACAGAGTATCACCGTATAATTTTGGGAAAGAATCCTAAAATTAAGAACATTTGCTACTAATGAGGTCATAAAAGCCTTATTACATGCCTTTTTCCGTAAGGAATGCGATCTGGGCAAAGGAAAGTAACGATTGGCGAGGACAACATGCCCAATCTTATGCTTTTTTGCCAGCTATCGAGACTGCTCTAGTTTGTAATGCTATCTGCATTTGGTAATTTTAGGCAAACTCATTAACAGAACATCAAGTGTAAGAAAAAGACCAAAGATTTGGAAGGGTGATCACACCAAGTACATAAGATGCACCATCCCTGACTATTTACCGGTGCTACTGCATTTGAAGTTAACTTGCTACTTAAAAATCGCCATTTTACCATATTAATTATGCAAGAAGTACAATGCTATATTTTACTTAATAGGAAACTTCGCTGGAATTATAGTGTCACAATTAAGTGATGACCGTGGTGTGCATTATTGAACCAGAGGCTTAATTACTAAGCAAATGTATTAATTAAACCGTTTTTCAGCCTTTCAAATAATCCAGGTTGAGCGAAGAATTACTAACTCAACCTCTCTAATTTTATGATAGTTACTCTCGTCAGAAGCTTCTTTCACAGCACTGAAGTACCATCCTTACCCCTCAAGTGAGGTTTGATATCGTTTAAAAATAGTTCAAACAGCTTCGCCTTCGTGGCTAAGGATCTGTGTATATCGATTTTGTGATTTCAGTGTGCAGCTTTTCTCATTAAGATAGTGATATGCTTTAAAAACGCCCACCACAAAGCGTAATACCCAAAAATAATTCGTCGAAATTTCGTTTTTAGTTGACCTTGTGGATCTGCATCAGGTAGTGGTCCTACACAAGTAAGTCTAAAGAATTTGACATTATGCCCCCGAAGGGTGTGAATTTTGGTGTCGGAAATCAAACACCTTGCCAAACCTGATAAAATCAACAAGGTGTAACATTGACCCACCACCACCACCTCTGCGGAAGAGGTGCTATTGTTCTCATGCCTAACTGGCTACTACGTTTTCCTTACTTGCGCCTTTCCACTGTAGCAGCAAACTTAGAAGGGCAGAACCTTCGAATGCACGATAGAGTACAGGGCAGGTATCCTCACAGTTCAAACAAGGTCTCATTTCGCCCCTTTATTCCATCCTCGACATGGAGGCATGCAGCCACGCCATCAGAGCCGACGACGCGGAACACGTCATGGCATATGCGGGCCAGAATCTGGATAAGACGGAACGCAACTACAGCACTGCCAGACGTAAACTCACGCCTATCGTCTTCCTTAGCAAGAGATTTGCAGTGTATTTCAAGAAGAAGCCTTTCGTCATCCGATTTGACCACCAGGCTCTCACCTAGCTGTGGACCTGGTGGGTCAGCTAGCTTGCTGGAAAGCCGCCCTTCCAGTTAGAATTCCGCTGCAGAAAGGAACATGTAAACATGATTATCATTTCTAGCCTTCCGACCCCGGACCCAAACCCAAGCGTGTCAGGTGATAATGCTGATATCAATGTTTTCACCAGAGAATCGTCAGGCTCCACGACGATATTATATACTTCTAATACAACTGCTTTCCAACCCACCTGGTAGTTCCTTAATCGGAGTCGTGCACAGCACTTAAGGACCTCGACAGCCAGCTGGACCGCAGAGTGGGCATGGATGAAGGAAAACGTTTACGGTCACCCAACCTGAAGCGTGACATCCGCCTCTTTTGTACCGCGGACGTTCCGCTAAAGGACCTGAGTCGCCGCCACACGTCCCTACTCAAGCTTATTAAATCGTGCTACGTAAACCAAGGTTTAGGCATCGACATCATGGATCCCATTTCACAATCGCACCAGCGGAACCGATATTTACTGGTCATGGTGATTAATCCCCCTAGATTTGTTTAAGCAGCACTATTCCTCACACAGTCACTGGTGTTATAGCGTTCCCGACCCATTCATTCCGACTAATGACCCAACTTCACCAGGAACTCTGTGAGGCAGTGGGCTTTTGAAGACCCGCACCACTCCCAACCACCCCATCATCAGCAGATTTCTCCCGTCACTCCTATAATCGTTTACCTCTACAGCCAGTAAAGACAACCAGGACCAACTCATTTCGTGTTTCCTACTCTCTTATCGTGAGACGGTAGATGAATCCACCGACTTTCTCGCCTACCTTCATCTTTTTAGGTCACAAACTCCAAATTCATTTTGATACGCAGTTTCCCATTGATACCCAACTAGTCACTATTCACCACAGGACAAGAAGTCTTGCATGGCAACATCTCGCACCAAGCCATGAATCGAAAAAAACTTATATGACAGACAGGAATTTGAAGCTGCAAGTAACTGGAAGATTCACATTGCCTGCACCAACTCTACTTTACTTGTGGCTGTTACTCGAGGTTAAGCAGCCCCAATACATGTCTCTACATAATTATCCATTCATTCCCTCACAAGGTACCAAATCCAGTCCACCTCCGACCTGCTTTCTTCATATAAACCGTTCACTTCAATCACCTCAAACTTGGACTCTGTGGTTCTTTCTTTCGACCGAAGTCATAATGTCCCTTTCGATATCACGGTCAATCATAATGTCGCGATTGTCCCAACACCTCCCACAGTGCACTTCCTCACTCAAGCTCTTCTAGTAAGTGGGACATTGTCACGAATGCAGCGAAAACACAAAATTCCAGTGGTGTGCCCTCTTTGTTTTTAAATTTAAAGACTTGTCCAATTCTCAATTTCATTGCATCTGATCGGTATTAGTCATCGTTAAAATACAACCTCTTTGGAATCAGAGTCGCTTCTTAAGTACAGTTGATCTGTTGCGTCTGTGCAGAGTCCAGTTTGCACGTTACACTCCATTCCAAGTTCAAATGGATTAATCGGGGGCAATTGCATCAATCTCAAATTGATTAACTATTTTCAAACTATAGCAAAATCAACATCAAATTATGCTGTTTTCCATAATTTAGATAAAATTCCTAATTTAAAGAAAATGAACACACATTGCACTTCCTTAGCTTCATCTCCTCTGAAGGAAATGAAAACAAATGGAAGGTGTCACATTGTGTCTAAGAAACTGAGACTACTCATCTTTTCCTTTACCGGCGGATGTTTTAATGGTCATCTGGGTTGGGCGTCAATGTAACTAACTTTGTCTTGAAAGACCAAATCAAGTTACTTCAGGACAATGTAGCTTTCCTAAAATAACCAGCAATCCAGTTGTCGTATATTAAAAATATTTTAATGCTTGTCGAACTTAAATAAGCTTTTAATTTTTGATTTGGACGTCAAAAAATAGAATAAATTTCAATTCACTTTCAATTAAATATGAACGGCAATGGTATTAGGAAGTCTGACATCACATATAAGAGTAGTTTGCATTTGTGACTAAGAAACACAACTCGGTTCCAGTTGACACGGAAACCTAAGTAAATATTTCTGTCTTTTCAGCTGTAACCATGCTGCTGCCACTGGTTTAAAAAAGTGTTAAATTCAAATAATTTTTATAATTCAACTATGTGATTGAAGTCAATTTTCTAATTATTAATAGAATATAAAGAGCGCTATTACTGTTTAATTTTGCCCTTGTTATTGGATTATCCAGTATCCAAAAAATGCTATATCTATTTGTAAAAGTGCAAAAGAGCATTTCCAATTCTAGTCTTATATTTATTCAAATGTATATGCTATTTGAGAATAAAGGATCATGTTTCGGCGCATCCGCGATTTGAACGTACTTTAAAGTTTCCTGTCAGGGCCTGCTAGTAAAAAATGTAAATGAGCACTATCATACACAAAACGGTTAATTAAAGTAACAGAGAAACGTGACCTTGCCAAAAGTACTGTTTTTTAGCCAAAAGGTAGAAGGTCGCGCTGGTCATAAGTTGAACTCATCCTGAGTATGCGTGCTCGTGGACGTCAATCGACAAACGAGACCTCGATCAGAATAAAAATCAATTTGGAACTTTTATTCGTAATAATGCATGGTAAAACCTAATGCATTCTCTTAAGATTGCATTCCGTTTGGTAATTTTTCAAAAAAACATCTGTTTATTTGTCTGACGGACATAACGGAAATCTGGCTTAAAAATGACCCATTTACCAAGGTAAATTATAGTATCTACAGAACCGTAAATGTCAATTTACACCTGGCATATTCAACGTCAGTGTATCTTTTGTTGTTTTAACTTTACTAGATTGAAACTTTCTTAATTTAAGTGGGATGATTTTTTGATAATTTTTTGGACTTAAATGGTTTAAATCAGTTTTTTGTCATCAAACTCAACTAATAACAATTTCGGAGAATAAATACTCATTACAGTTCCAGTTACGATTGCACCCTAGGATAGTATCATAGTCAAAAATTTGGCTGTTGTTTTAATTGGCTCTCATTTGTAAACGGCGCAAAGAGTGTAAAACTGAGATGAGCAGGTTGGCCAATATGTAAACTTTTTCTTGTTTCTCATTCTGTGTTATTTTTTCTTCTCTGCAGTGTTAAATGGTAGACATCTTCTTAATTATTTTATGCATCAGTTAGTGTTGTTGTTACAATGATTATGGGGTCCATAGTGCGGGCTCCTTCACGCAACTTTTGTAAATTGTTCTGGTAAAATAGCAGTTATGTTGTGTTACTTACGGAGTATTTGATTTGCAGTCGAAGAGAAGACCACTATCGGTCCCTCAATAAAGTTGACAGGTTTGCTGTCAGCTACCGCGGTCTCTCTTCTCGAGACCGTCGTGATCGTGATCGCTCACGAAGCCCCAGGCGTCATAACGACAGACCTCGACACACAAATCTTGATGCCTACTTACGCAGTAAGATGGAGCGCCTTCGGCAGGACGTTCTGGATCATGAACATAAGCCCGAAGAAAAGCATTTTAAAAGCAATTATGATGATGTTCGCCCCGTTAAAAAAGATGGGAATGACAGCTCTCGACGTCACCATCATGATAAGGAAAAAAAGCGCCATAGAAAGCACCGTCACAAAGACCGTAAAAGCAAACGTCAAAAGTCAAGAGAATCTCCCGAGAAAAGGTAGCACAATAATTATGTATGTATAAGATCATAGTGACAACGAGCAAAACGATACTGAAGAAGGCGAAGAAGATGAAGAGGCTATTATTGAACGGCGACGCCGGGAAAGGCAAAAGCTGCTCGAGGTACGTCGTTTATTCATCCTAATTTTGTAGGCTCTTGGACATGGAGCCAGTGTATCTCCTGATCCTGAGGCATCACCTAAGGAACCTGACGTTCCGGAGGCATTCCCATCGGATAAGCTTGTTAAGCAAGTCACAAAGCCTCTTCAAAAGTCAGAATCGGCTGTTTTCGCTGGTGAGTTTGCATTACTTCGACACAGACTTGGCTGCGGACCCCAAAATATGCTCACGTTAGCAGTCAAATAATTCTGATGGACTAATGATTTTAAAAATTCATCAAATAGAAGTATTTCAAGGGTAAAACCGGTTCGGATACACTAGACTGGCGTTTTAAATAGACGTAATATGCAAAACGGTGCGGTTACCAACATTCGGCATGGTTTCTTTAGTACATAATCTAATTCAATGTTTTGACTTACTGTAAACGCTCAAAACCCATTTTTTACTGACAGATACCATAGCTGACACTCCAAGCGGCCGTATGTCCGGTATTCAGGCTCCGGCAGCTGTTGCTTTTCTTCACGACCACGGACATGCCAATAAATCGGATACTGGGGTCACAAAGACTGAAACTGATGGTCCACCTCCAGAAAAAAAATTCGCTTTTGATATATTCTCGGGGGAGCTGCCAACTGCTCCGGTAAGTGGGGTTCCGGGAACAATGGATCCACGTGCAATGGCAGCTGAGAACCATTCCCTTGTTGATAACTGGGATGATGCTGAGGGCTATTATCGTAAGTTTGAATTTCATTTATTTTGTTTTGTGGATCACTAATTGCTTCCGGCCGAAATAGTAAACATCGTAAACAGTAATCGACTGTACGCTGGAATAATTACTTTCCATGCTTGGGTTATTTTTTACACTAATTATCTGTTTTCCATCAGCGCTATGCAAAGAATTGGTTCCTATAACTGGTTATGTTTGTTTATGGTGCTTTATTGATTGTAACAAGGGGTTTGGCATGTAATTTAGGATTCCCCATGCTCATGCACGTAAATACCGTCCACTTAGTTTAAAACACTGCTCTAATACACAGCTTATTTTGTGATAAGGTCACAACTTATCAGCGCGAATTTTCATCTATATCCTACATAAGTCCAGGGCCAGTAGACTTCTTCACTGCCGACAAACGCCCGTTCCTACCACTTCCGGGTATCCGATGAACATGCTTCATTTTCATTAACATTGTTCAGTGATTGCTGTTATTTCGCAATAGGTGTTCGCATTGGTGAGGTGCTGGATAAACGGTACTCTGTTTACGGCTATACCGGCCACGGTGTTTTCTCCAACGTTGTTCGGGCACGAGATAGCGCTCGTGGTAATCTCGAGGTGGCAATCAAAATTATTCGTAACAATGAAGTCATGTAAGTTCTCATTTTTGCTTGCCTATTTGTGTGTCGTCTTAATGTCTGACTACTTGGACAAGACCTGGGGTCATAGGTATGGCCTTGTTTTGACTGCTTTTGCTTAATTTTCGTTTTATATTCGCGCCTTTGTTCCTGGAGTTTCTGTAGACATCGAATAGTTCCTCTGTAATTATACTTGTGTGTGACCCTCACGGTGGAGTTTCTTGACGAATTTGAGCTTTCCCTATTATTGCTGTAATATTCTCTGTTCTAAGTGGATTGGCTGCTCAACTGATTATCGTTTTCTCACTGTCCCACTTTTGCTGTATTTCCCTGCGCGTGTATAGGCACAAATCGGGTCTGCAGGAATTGGAGGTCCTGAAGAAACTAAACGACGCTGACCCTCAAGATCGATATCATTGCATGCGATTGTATCGACACTTCTTTCACAAAAACCACCTCTGCATGGTGTTTGAATCTATGAGCATGAACCTGCGTGAGGTGCTCAAAAAGTACGGGCGAAATGTGGGGCTCCATATCGCCGCAATTCGTTCCTACACCCACCAAATGCTATTAGCCCTCAAGCTGTTGCGTAAGTGTAACATTCTGCACGCTGATATCAAGCCTGACAACGTCCTCGTAAATGAAAGTAAAATTACTCTGAAGCTCTCCGATTTCGGGTCGGCCTGCGCCATGCAGGAAAATGAACCCACGCCTTATCTCGTCTCGCGTTTTTATCGTGCACCTGAAATAAGTAAGTTAGTCTTTTCTCTACTGTCCCGTTTTCATGCCTTGCTTTATCATTGTGCCGTTTGGCCTTAACCTAGTTTTTGCTTCTCATTCACCAGTTTGACTCGGACCGGATACCTGACTACTGTCCTGGCGAGACTGCGAACACAGTTGGGCATTCTCGTGTATATACATGGTAAAGAGATGGGCCAACCTACTAATTTTTGTTTTTTTGCACAATTATGTTTGATACACGGGCATCCTACTGTTTAGTTAGGTCGATTTGAGAGAACTGCGTTCGCATCGAACTCGTAGTCGGCGGACCTGGCATTGGTTCGCATCAGTTCAGGGGCTATTCTCACGAGTGCTTTTCAGTTAGGGTTTTCGGGTAAAATGAACAATAACACCCTTTTCTCTACATTGGCTCAAAAAGCTTAAGGGCAATGCGGGAACGAGGTCGCGTGGACTACTATTTAGCCGGTCTATGCCGTTTTATCAGTATACACACCAGTCTACAGACAAAACGAGGGTTTTTTGTTAAGTCCTTTTATTGGCACTACTCAGATGGTGTCCAACTTCAACATTCATGCACAGGCATTCAAGATGTCCAGTTATTTTAATATGCATATCTCTTTAGCTACGTCACGGAATTTCCGGATATTTATATCAAGCGCATTGTGAATATGCGCACTCATTTCCATTTGCGCATCTATATGTTTATGTTATCCACTCTCACCGTTTATGGCGGTGCGTAATTTGGATTCACTGCGAAATTCACACCCCACTGCTATTTTGTGGGTTCGTCAGATTGTGGACTTCGTACCTTAAAACAACAGACTTACTAAATGTATGCGAAAACGTCATTTCCATTTCTATTTACGCTTGACCAAGCGCCTTGCTCACTCCTATGGGCCGTACTAACTTGATTTATACCAATCTATGACGACCGAAAACTACCTCTGCATCACAGACTCCTGCGTTGGACTATGGCAGTCTGCGGAACTGTTGACATTTCTGTTTCTGCTCAGTGCCATTTTCACCTCCACCCATACTCTAAACCTGTCAAACTTGAGCATACCACATTGTAGGAAATTGCTTTCAGTTTCGACCACGTTTTCGATGTATCAACCAAAGTAGTGCTGGACGCTCTAGGTGCTAGTGAATTGTGCATTCTTTTCATCATTAACCATAATGGCTTCTCTCCCTTTCCGCCCATCTCATCTGCTCCCAACAGTTTTGGGTCTTCCCTACGACTTCAACATCGATTTGTGGTCAACCGCGGTCACATTATTCGAACTCTACACGGGCAGAATCATGTTTCCCGGGAAGACCAATAACGAGATGCTTCGTCTCATGATGGAAACCCGTGGACGCATCCCAAATCGCGTCGTTCGTCGTGGTACCCTCCGACATGCCCACTTTGACGAGCAATGCAACTTCCTCTACCATGAGGTTGACAAGGTCACCCAAAAGGTCAGCGTTTAATTGTTGTGGAATAACGTCAATTATATTTGCTTAATGCGATTTCTCACAGACATTTTCACGGTCAATATGTCGTAGTACCATTCGCCGACTCTCGACCACGCACAACCAAATTAGAATCCATGTGTTCTCGTTTGTTTTACACAGTAGTCTACGCCTCTAGATGCGGGCTTTTTATCTGTAACTACTGTTTTTTTGACAGGCAAAGACAACTGTCATTCGGAATATTCAGCCGACCCGCGATCTCCTCGGCGACCTTACGGCGGACCCCCAATTAACTGCACCAATTCTGAGGAAGGTGCAGCAGTTCAAGGACATCCTTGACAAGATGCTTGCCCTCGATCCCACCAAACGCATTTCCCTCAGTGATGCCCTTACCCATCCCTTCATTACTGAGGCAATTGATGAAGGGAAGTAACGCTGTATAAATACCAAATCTAGCTAAAACCATTTGTTACTAACTCTCAATAATGACTGTGAAACACTCCCGCGTTTTTTTATTGGCATACAGATTGTCGGTGCTGGCGTTAGTACTTTAATGACGTGTTTGGTCCAAACGGCTGGTAGATGAACGAATTCTACCTAAGGAGTTAATCAGTATTAACCAGCTCACATCTTGCTTGTCTTGAACCTCAAACATTGAGAGTCAAACCCGGTTGCCCACGGCCTCCTTTGCTCGATGTTGTAAGAGGGTTCTAGTCCAGGTATCCGTATCGCTTGTCGTCCAGTGAGAAATGTAATCCGAATTTTTGTGGATGGTAGGATCGTGCTGGCAGGTAGACAAGCCCTTCATCTACTTTTTTGCTCTGTGTAATCTGTCTCATGCTTTTAGGAGTTCACTAAGAAAGACAGGCTGTGTTGAAGATCGTTTTAGTTTACTATTAGGTTCTAGAGTACAGGTATGAAACACAACTCGCCGATCCGTGTTTATGGATCAACTACTTAAAAACCGGACGATCACAGCTGGGTACATTGATTGCCAGATGGACATCTAGCAGGAACCCACATGTTAGGTATTGAAATTGTCTACTGGGAAGAGAGGGTGTTGACCAGGGAAGTGGGAATTCTCTTGAGGTACGCTGAATGCCAAGCAGAGACTGGTGTTGCAACGACTCCCAGTGTATTGACGGGGCAGACATCGCGGTTGTAAGAATATGCTTTCCCGTCGATACCAGTGACTCGACCACCAATGCAGTTGATGAGCGCTTCGGGAGCACAAGTATCCCATCGTTTGCAGCCCGTGTTGGCGTAGATGTAGCCGTGCGCAGTGCCTTCGATCAACAGCAACATCTTAAAGCCGCAGCCACCAGCTTTGTAAACCTAGGAAATTGAGAAATCGGGTTTTCGCTAATCCAAAATACAAATCTTTAAGCTGCTGGTGGTTACCACTTGTACCGCCAGAAAGTACTGATTAATGTATTTCCTGGTTCTAAGCGTCCTTGCCAGGATTACCAACCTGTTTCTAATCGACAATTTCACTAACAAACATAGAACATACTACCGTTGGGCCATTTATTTTCCGACACAGCAATCTCCGCAAGCAAACTTGGCCAATAGTGAGCGGCATTGACTCAAATACTAACTTCGGTGTTGGTGACCGTCGTAAACACGATTGCCAAAGTTGAAACAACTACAATCATTATTTTTTTTTTAAAAAAATCCTTAACGGGATGAGAGTCAACTTACAAGCATATAACAGTTAACACCGCCAATTATAACCAGAAAAAAAAACTAGATAGACAGCCAGTCACGACAACCTCACTTTTGTCGGATTGCAAGCCTCGATGGCGGCTGTTACCATTGGTTTTGAGTGCGATCTGGTGCTAACAATCAAATTGGCGTTAGAGCCGATATCCCCTTCGAAAACAGGTCCCTGGGAGAGGGGTTTGCTGGATGTCCCGAATATGCCCAGACCCTCAAGGCCCCAGATGAGACGAAGTTGGGTCTCCTCGACTTGAGGACGACGGTCGTATTGGGACTCGGTGACTGCCCGGTAGCCGGGCATGTAGAAGGGCTGGCAGACAACACCACCGACAGCACGGCCCTTGACCGCCACTCCAATTAAGACAGTCACGTGTTCTAAAAAACCCTAGTTAACAAAAGGGAGCGAAAATGCACAACGATTAGACAATGCAAATGGGGAAAAAGGCCAATTTCTGTTATACTGAACCGTTACTAAGACAGTGGACAGAATAGGGTTAAACGTAAAAGTATGCTACATGCGCTACTTATTTCCACCATTCTGGGTTTTAGCTTTAATGTGTTAGCTAAAGGTGTGATATGAGCAATTTTCATAGAATGTCGATTCGAGGTTTTAATGAAATTTTGACCAAATGACGGAAGAGCCAGCGGCGACACAAACAACTTTTTACATTAGGTCAAACACTTGAATGTAGTGTCAGTTATCGACACAAGACACCTACTATCCACGATTAGAACTCCATAAAGGAAATTGAGATCAGGCTCGAGGTAACTTAAACGAGTGCGTTACAAGCGACGTGGGGAAAATTGCCCCATAACTGGACGCGCACCAAGGCCTTTGCTGATAAGAAAAAAAAAGAATGAAAGGGAACGATATTTTGGCTTGAGAAAATCCTTTACTGGGTACGTTCAAATTCACGAATATTTGCTATTTCGTTCTGGTCACTTTCAATATAAAACCGTACACAATACAACGCTTTTGAATATGGAAAGTAGAAGGGACAGGTAGTAAAGAGCTTGTCGAAATAGCCTGCGAATGCGAAGACATTTAATGTACAATATCCTTAAAGTGGGTTTTTCTTTTTAACATGGGCATAAATAAAACATTATGCTCGAGGAGAAAGACGATAAAACAGGAAATGGAATTGAAGGTGAATTGATCAAGGCGAATTTTAGTGCAAATAAATAGCTTTTGTGCAACGAAAAATCATTTTAATTAATACCGATGGCTAAATCTACTATCATTATAAACACACCTTGTTATTGCATATGGCAATGGTAGCGCCATCTACGCCCGGAATATGTGATGATGTGGCGCTTGGTTGGTATTTTAGCGAAGGTTAAAACTTGATCAAAACTCGTGTAAGAAAGGGGTGAAGGAAGGATAGTTGGGCCTTTTGGGATTCTCTAGGATTCAGATTGGGGGATTTCACGGCAAACTACGGATAGAGGAGGTGATGAGGAGAAAAAAAGCAAAATCCGCCGTGATGGCAGTGTTATTTAGATTAAGCAACGCAGTTAGAGCCGAGAAACGTGAAGATTTACCCCAATTTATTCAGCCACGCGCCACAAAATTCACGAGGAATCTGAGACTTGAGTCGGAGCTAGTCATCAAAAGGCCCTATCATTAAAACTAAAACTAAAAAGGTTAAAACCACCTAAATCATTTGTAAATCATTTAATTTTAATCCTGGAAGCATTTACTAGGCAGAGGAGTTCATGTTTAGTAAAATTAAAAAGAAGATAGCCAGGAAAGATAATTCAGCAAATGTGGACATTCAAACACTGTAGGCTTAATGGTTTGGATAGCCAAGAATGGTGGTAAACGACCAATTTTAAGTTACATGTTACGTATGCGCAGATTGCATTCCGAGTATAAAACCATATTCCTAGAGGCGAGTGACAATCACTTTATTTGCGTTTGTCAAAATACATCGATCATAAATAACCAAACATCATGCTTAGAAAACCACACAATGAGGAGGTCAGAAGCATTATGTCTTAAATTCTGAAAGCAGCAATAATCCATGTGTGGTTAAAAAAATCTAAAGGGAATTTTTAATTACTCGGATAGCCAAAAATGTTGACTTTGAAACTTCACACAAATAACATTCTTTAAACATTAAACTTATGTGCGTGGGGTTCATACCTAATGCGTTATGATCGTTCGAGAAGAAATTTATTTTACACACTACATAAACTGCATTAGGTTATACTCGGATTATTCAAAATTTAAGAGTTGAGCAGCGCGACTAATTCCGAGCGGAAATTACCTTTTCTGTTGGTTAATGGCCAGCATATTAAACCACTGATGAAAGTAACCATTTTCTAACCTGTGCGAATTCGCTGGTTCCATCTAATGGGTCTACCCATACAACAATATCATCCAATGCTGCCGATTCGAGTTCTGCAGGACACTTTTTTGATAGAACATCAGAGTCTAGCTCTTCCACCACTTCAGAGAACGGCTGATCTCCGTCATCTAAATCTTCCTCGCCTAAAGACAACGTAAACAGACGGATGTGTGGATCAACAAAGGGTTTGTTTCAAAATTAAACATCGAATACTACTCCGCTATAGGTCTGCTGTGCACTCTTCCACTGGTCGAACCCCAGCAGTAATGACCTTCGGACATGAGTTACGGCTGCCGGCCGATGCTGTGGCACCCCCACCTCGAGCGCCGAATTACGTAGGACCTTCCGAATACGTCGCTGACGCACGACACCAACTGTGTCGGTCTTTCGATTCAGCCAGGTCACAGCTAGCTATAGCTTACAAACGACAGGACTATTATGGTAAACGGGAGCATGATACCCCCGTCGAGGAAGATGACTTAGTATCGATGGCTAAGACGAGTGCAGCGGGCGAAGACAGGAAATTCCAACATACGTGCGAGGGACCATATATGGTCGACATGGTCCTCATTGAAGCGATGTGTGTAATTCGTAGTCTTAAAGAAAGTCCAGTTCAAGGGTTTACTGTTCACTCTAACAAGCTCAAACCGTATTTTCCGTCGATGGAGGAGGATGACGACGAGCCCCTTATGCACTGTGAGCCACCCCCGGTAGGCCACACGGTTGAGATAGCTGCGGCAATAGTCGACGAGAAGCTGGGGTCAGCTTCGGTCTTAGTGGGGGAGGGCAGTGTAGCGGAATGGCAGATGGCCGCCATTTAGGTGACCAGTCATTGGTTTAGGGTGAACAGCACGACATGGTGACGAAGTCATGTGATCGGGGGCGACTTCCGGCTGCGTGACGTCACACAGGCATTAAATGACACCCCGGGGGCTGAGAGCCAATCCACTCACGAGCTTTCCGTCTCCATTACAGCACCGAGGAACGGACCAACGGGAGGACAGGACGACCAGGAAAAGGCTATGTAAAGACCCTGTTTTCCACCATAGAACTGGCCAGATTGTGACTAATTCTAGTTTTCATTAAAGAACTCCATTTTGTCTTACACTCTTCTTGATTGTACCATTGGACCGAAACCTACACTACCCTTGAATAGAAGCTAGGCAACGTTAAATTCCAGTCAATTGTGCCGACAAATAACTGCAACGGATTAGTAATCACAAATGCTTATAAATAGACATTTAAAGATTTTTCTGAAATTAACATTTATGATAATCAAACATATTGGAGCAAAAAAAGCACTATAACCCATAGTATACACGATTAGATTAAAAGGTGCAACGTGTGTTTGTACTAAACAGATTAGACAATACTAGCTACAAAAGTACTGACTGTTGCGTAAAAACGAGAAACAATGGTAGTTAAAACGAGTTAGCATAGTACAATCGCCATGAGGTGCTATTTCCTTTGGAAAGTATCCATGATTCAATTAAAATATGAAATGTACTTAGTTTATTAAACATAGCAGACCAAGGAAACAAAAAGACCGATATTTTGGTAAAAGCACATTAGAAACATTACCAATGATGCAGAGTCCTGGGAAGTGCTTTGACAATGACGAAACTATGCAGTGTTGAGCACTGCGGTCGGCTTGAGTCTGCAAATCATTGACACCCTTGTCAACGACACCAAGTTTCCCACTAGCAAGAACCTTACGAATAATAACCCCTGCTTTCGAAGCGACCGAAACGGACGATGCCATGAGCCTCATTATAACTGGTGCCTCCATTTCCTAATCAAGGTGTTTAATATAAAAACCAGACATTTAACATACTACGATACCACTCTTAAAACAGAACCAATGTGAATTTAGTATTTCAAGGACGGAAGCAATTAGCAGTAATCATTAATTAAAAGATGACATGATTAATTATAAACACATTAAAAAAGCTTTAACAACTTCAAAACTTGTAACGTAATGTTTAAATGCGTCTAGAAGGTAACAATGACATGAAACACGGTTCCCTGTTTAATGTTTTATCAAAATTAAAGTCGATTTTATAAATAAATACTACTTATTATTATCGGCAAAAAAGTTTATAAATTTTTTTATGTATCAACACTTTCGATCATGTTTGCGTGAAAACTAATAGTCACCTGATAACCAGTCCAGCTATGAGTCACAAACAGAAGCGAACGTGCAGGTCCGAGAATTCCATGTCGACAGTTTTAAAAAGGGCTCATAAAGGTAATGGAATCAGTTATTTGGTTCTTAGATTTGCATACTACCTTTGAGTTATAGTGAGTTAGGAGTGATCAAATATTTAATCTTTTTCTGCTTGATAACCCGCGTTTATTTCCTTGAACTATCGCGAACATCTATATTTTTACGCCAAATTAAAATAAAACGAATCTACTAATGAAAAAATTTTGGCATATGTACCTGCACAGAAATGTCCTTGCGTTGTTTTTTTACGATGTTATAGAAGTCTAGACTTATACCAACTCCACTTATTGGCGACAAAATTATTGACAATCTTCTTCAATTTATTAATCCGCTTAATGTTGACCTAGATTTTCGTTATACGACTTTACCGTGCTGGGACATTAAGGAAAGACTCTTAGAATTTTTCAAGATTCCAAACCATCTGTGCCCTGAGTCTGTATATATTTCACTTCCTCAAATTGGTCTTTCATGCGTTGGCTCCCGTTCGGAAAGACAAGTGGCTCCTCATGGAATTTCAACGATTGGAAGCCCTTCAGATTAAACTGGAAGGTCATTAGTTAAACAAGTTTGTGGCTCACCAACCCCTTACAGTTCTGGTCAAAAAGATTTCTACTCTTACATTAAAAAAAAAGAAATATTGAGGTCCAAATAATACTGAACGCTTGCAGTAAGCAAATATGCTTTGATTCATGGTAAGATGTGGAAAGAATTATTCCGGAGATGATCCCGCTCCCTCTAGATCCGACGTCATGCAGCAATGTTAATGTCACGGGCTCAAACAGGACTTTACAACAATAACCACAATAACTTAATTCCATAAAATTCTTTGCAAATGCTTAAGAAAAGTGGAGCGTTTTATGAACAGTTTTTCAAAAAGTGAGGACTCCGGTCAAGAATTTATGCTTTAAAAGAATTATCCCTAATTTTTCTCTTTCAAACAAAAGTGTTTTTGCAAAATCATTGATTACTAATCAGCATGTTTCGAATCCTGTTTAAGAAAAAGCGTACTTGGAGTGAAAGCACACTGGTCCTTTTTGTAAGAGCGAATAACCCCCTTCTGCATATTAGAGTCGACTAGTCTTTAACCAGAATAAATGAAAAGTCTAAGCTAAATAAGGGAACCACAAACAATCAGGTCTGAAGGCACAATTTCGAAGCCTTAAGCGGTATAAAACCAATAAAACAAAAATGAATAAAACTTAGCAAAGCGTTTTCGTAGAATTGCCTTAATTATAGCAACGTTGTAAACAGAAAGGAGTAAAGAGAATAAAAAGAGATCTCAGTATTACAAAGTAAGCTATCATGGGGAGTAAAAGTAATCTTCGCATGTTATGCAAAAAAAACAGGTCTACCCCTTCGAGTCTCTCTGGGGAGTTTCCCTTGCCGTCGTCTACGACCATTTTGCATTCTAAATATTGGCCAGTCTATGACATTTTATCTGTGTTCAATTGTTTTTAAGAGATTGCACTTGATGTTGTGTTTTTGAATGGATTAGATAGCAAATAATGCTGAACGCTTGGCTGCCGATTTGGCGTCTCTGCATATTTTCTTTTCCAGAGTGAATTTTGATGTCATCCACTGTCGAATCGAAGCTGACTATTGATGCAGGGGCTACATCTAATCAAATATAACCAATTTTGCATATCCCTACATCAAATAAATCGAATAATTTTGCCTGTGGAGTCTCAAGGCTTGGATTGCACAAAGGAAACATCAGGATTTTTGGCCACAACTCTTGACCCATGGGCGCATTAAACAACGATTGGTGATCTGAAAGGGCCTCATTTAGCTTTATGTGGCATAATATCTAATGATACCTTTCCCAGCCCTCGCGCTTGTGGCAGCGCCGTTTTAGCATGTCGACGAACCACTTTGTCTATTTGTTGGATTGCAGGTTATTATGTGGGATACGGATGTGGGCAATTGCGCAATGCTTCAGAAACCCAGATGTTACCGTGAAATGAATTAGGAGCTATGGTCAAAGACAACGGTCTCGGAAATCGCTTGTGGGTTGGAGAGTGTTTTTTTAACAATCTCCGGTGCTATTTGTAGGCGTTCCTAACAGGATTTGAAAAGCTTCATGGACGACAGACTAGTGTTTTGTAGCTAGAGCCGATGGCCTGCAGAAGTTTTGTTGAAATTAATGCCACAACTGGGGCACTAGTAGCTTTGATTAACTTCATTCTGCCAATGCTGGGGTGCCCAGTGTGAAATTATGGAAGGCCATGCAAACTAGCCGATGAAGGAATGACCATTCATTTTTTGAACGTTTAACGTTCCTCGCACAAAAGAATTTGTGTCTCAGAAAGAGAAGCAACAGTTATACTTCAAGTTAAGCCTTTTGTCATCTGCATTGAACGCGGTGAATGACCTCCCAAACTGTGAGGTTTGAGGATGCTACCAGTTTAACCCCAAACACCAAGACTATTAGAATATGGTGAAATCTGCTGTGTAACGCCTTCATATATTAAGGAAATATAAATGATGGCGACAATTTTAGTTGCTGGATTGCATTTACTGGTAAATAAAACATTCAAGGGTCGTCGCAAATGAAATTGATGTCAATTAAACCTTACTCTTCGAGCCACTCCAGGTATTGGAACTTAAGCTTTGTATTGGCTACATTACATACGTTTTTGAGGGTTATGCTGCAGAAGGTGACATTGCAATGCCTCATGCTATATTTTCGGGACCATCTTCCGCAAGCACCGGTAAAGATTTAAGGTAGCTCTGACCAAAGGCCGACCAAAGAAATGCAACTGTTTATCCAAGGTGAAAGTGATGTCTGAAGAAAGGTCTAATTGCAAGTTAACTAAAGGTCAATTGCAAAGGCCAGTTATGGACTATCACCATCGTTGAGCATTCCAATCGAAGATATATTATAGACTAAACAAGGCCATTATCAAGACAAACTATTTTGAACTTTAACGGTGGGAGCTTTGCATGCACTTGGTGGACAAAGTGACTAGCGATAATAGTCCTTTAGGTCACTACCTTGCACTTCTGACTGCGATTTTGTGTAAACGACCTAATTGTAACAAAGAGCTAGGTCCTTTGATGCCAACACACTGACAAAGAAGTGCCCTTTGCTTCCTTAAATTGCACCAGGCTGTCACACATTCAACTTTGAATGTCATGAGATGTTGCATTTAAATTTTAGATATTTGGCAGGCCACTAAACCGCGTTGACCGAGAACTAAATGTACCTCCAGATTGGACCATCAAAGTCATGCTAAAAGTTACCTTAATGCACTGTCATTTTCAATTTTATCAATCATCAATGAAAGCTTTAGCTAAAGTTTACCCAATTTAGGACTAGTTGAGGTTTACAACCATAAAATGTTGCATGCTGCTTATGAGAAGAGTAAAATAGCATTGATCCACCACTAGATTTTTTATGTTTTATAGACACTGAGTGGTGTAGATTTTCATCTGACTCTCCTATTACAGTACCGTATACTTAATACGAAGAGGCTTTCCTTAAATATACAAAATTCTTGAAGTTGTGAACAGTCTTGCCAACATTGGTCAAATTTCGGTGACTGTATGAAACATCATTGTAGAAGGGCAGCACAATCCCCTGTATCTTGGGATAACATTGAAGACTAATTATCAATCCAGGCTGCTTAGTATTCTGTAAATAAAATAATAAATAAGATAAAATGGTGTTTTGCAAAAAGTGGAAGGATTGTCACAGAACTATGGGTACCCGCCACCAGGTGATGCGAGTCGAAGGGCATAGTCCAGAGTTTAGCAGCATCCGGAGATTTGGCGTCGTCCGGAGAATTGTGGTAATAGGTCGCCAAACGTCAGTACAACGAAGGTCGATGTTTAGGACACCAGAAAGTTGATATTTGTCCAACGTCGGGGTTACCAATTGTTGTGGGCTTTAGAATGTGGTGTTGAACTACGCCGTGGCCACGGATTTAACCCTGGCACGATTACGCTTCCCTGATACCCGCGGTGAAGAAAATGATCGGAGAGGACGTGGATAAAACCGTTTACTTCAGAGCTTAACCACGTTGGCTTCATTGTGTCGTGTGCGGGGTTTGCGAGTGTGTATTTATGCCTCAGATGTGTGAGTCATACATAAGCTGACATCAAGACCAAGATGTGAGGATAACCCAGGATAAATATTAGTGCTAAAGTAAAGGGAGTTGAGGACCCGCGCAGCTGCCAACCTTTTGCTAAAGGGTAACTCTGTATCGGAGGTGGAGCAACCGGAATAAGGGTCTCGAATAAACACGATTCACGACAATTCAATGTAAGTCTTAAACCACCCTGGCTTGGTCCAAGTACATAAATTGCTTTCACTTTTCAAATACTATGGTGAATTAAGAAGGACGGAAATGTTGGTGACGCTAACATTTGTCAGTCTTCAACATTCTGATTTTATAATGTTGTTTGAGCGTAAAATATCTCTCTAAGCATACAAAGAAACTGCACTTTAGCAAAGGTAACCTATTTACAGTCAACACTTTATAGATAATCTTGTGACTAAATAGTGTAAGACCTAACCTGTCAATAGAATTCTGCTTTTGGTAATTTTATAATAACTGTTAAACAAAACTACAATATTAACCATGCATCTGCCACTGATAGATTTTACTTCTCTTTGGCGACTAGGTAGATAATTAAATTTCATTCAAGTTGAAATATTTACTACACAGAGTATTAATTTTGCGCAGTACCATAAATCCAAATATTACTTTTATTCTACGAGAAAAAGCCACTATATCACTAAGCCAGAAACCTAGGTTCCATTATGGAAAAATGCTAGGCTGTTTTAGAGCAGGTAGAAGCATGGTTATGTGAACAGATTACTGGGTTACACTGATTAGCTTTAAAAGATGTACCAATAATTTTAGCTTTGAAAGAGCTCATTTGAGGACATTTCTTGATTAAATTAGCAGTTATATTTGGCAAGTAAAGATTATAAC